GCTGTTCGCGTTGATCTTTATAATTTGAACTCCTACTGAGCAATCTAGCTTGGCCATGTCTTCGCATGCAGACCGATAGACACCTATCCAAATTGATCAGAGCATCTTCAATGCAGTAGAGCGCAATCCTAGACAACATTATCCTGCGTAGTGCAATCAATAAATCGCTGACGACATCGGGTTTGTCGGAGAACGCAGAGGTTAATGTTTTGGTCTCATAGAGTGCCTAACACAAGCTAATTGTGAATTACAAGGACGAATGCATTAAAATGTAGGGCTACAAAAATTGACCTGACTTTTACGAATAAGCTTTGACTTAAGATAACCGCAAATTTAACAGTTATTGTTATTTTTGGCGGATATATACGTCATAATCTGACGAATTCGTTAACGTGACTTTTTACATCCAAAGATCAATGCCGTTAACAAAATTACTTTCATAAAGAAACACAAATGGCAGATAGTTTGCAAAAGCCTTACCTTCGGCTTTAAAACTCCCCAACTGACTTGTAGTTGATCTGGGCTGTCGACGGTTTTTCTAAAAGATGAGCAATCAATTAGTAACCGTACTTTTTCTTCTTTGTCCACGTTTTGTGTGGTAAATTTGGCCAGTTTTCTCTCATATACCTTTCTAGTGGTATCTGTAATTGGACCAACATGAACTCCATGGTCCCGCAAAGCAGATCTCAACTCATCGTCGCTCAACGATGACATTTTCCGAGCGAATCGTTCTCGTATGCAAGAGCCAGGATGATCGGTGACAAATTGAATAAACCAATGAAAATGCCATAATCACAATCGCCGGACTCGTGATTGGCTCAGCCAGTGGTATGCAAATGACGCAGAAGTTCCCGATTCAATCATACTTAATTTCAAGGACGAAGCGGCTGCTCGATTAGCCTAAGAGATGTTAATTGCATTTACGAGCATCTTCACGAGATGTTTCTTGACCAAGGAAATAGATATTGTTAAAAAATTGACAGTAATTACCAATTTTAACGAACTTTGGTAAATATTTACACTGCATGTCAATGTATAAGTGGAGAAGATGGTTCTTGTCGCCCTGACCACAAGGTCAGATCAGGATTGCGAATCAAAAAAGTGGCTCTGCTCCGTTACATTTTGGTGACAGAACTGAAAGGATATTGGATGGATATATATATGGATAAATATGCGCAAAGATTCGGGGTCCAGCTATAAAATCGCCTACATCATCCTTGTGGGCTCTTGGCCCTACTTATGTGTTGTTTAAATTTATCAATAACC